ATCTGACTGAAACTCAACTTTATGATGATACCATATATAAAACAAAAACCAAACTCACTGCTGTCCAGTCAGTTCTGACTCATAGTGACCTCTCCTTGGGTTTCCGAGGTGGTATCTCTAGGGAAGTAGATTGCCCAGTCTTCCTTCCCAGGAGCGGCTGGTGGATTTGAACTACCAGCCATCTGGTTAGCAGTCAAATGCCTTAAGCACTATGCCACCAGAGCTCCTGACACCAAATATAGATTTAACATATTAAGGTAACTTGATTAGGTATATTTGCTATCTTCTTTTCCTGCCTCAACAAAGGTAGAAGCTCAACTCACTTCTTAACATACTCATTTGCACTCTTGCCTTTCGTCTTTCTCTAGAGGCTTTCTCTGTGTTTTGCTAGTTGAAAAGTCACCCTCCAGTTTCAACTTTAATGTTCATAAAAGTGAATCAAAAATATGTTAGGCTTGTCTTGTTTTTAAATACATATTTGTGTATAAATACCTAAACTTTATCAGTGTCAGCAAGTGATAGGCTATTCTGACTTGCTAAGCTTGGGCCCTATTCCCTTGCTTGGTAGGGCATGAGGATGAAATCAAGGACAACCAAATTGTAACTAATGGGTTAGGCATAATAAAGGGATATTTCCTTATTAGAAGGAGAAAAGTGGGATGAACTGGGCAATATTAGATATGAACTACACACGTCTCATCAATACATACTATTGAAATTACCTACCATTTCAATATCTATTTCTCTCTCTTCCCTCATCACTCACTGAACAGCTGCTGCATTAGTCTTCTTTCATTACTCTTAAATGTTAAGCTCTTCTTTAATATTATATTTTTTCCCCAATTCCCCTAGCATCTCCTTCTCACCATTACTCAGTTTAAATTTTCCTTCCTCAAAAGGAACTTTCCTCTCTTCCTCCCACAATCTAATTTATATCCTCTTATTTAATTATCTTTTAATGCACTTTCATTTACTTATTCAATATATATGTTTTGGCTAGGGAAGTAACATTCAATAAAATATACAGTCTCACATAGTTGGACTTAGAAAGCAATGTGTGTATCTCTATTGATAGCTGTAGCCGTATTTTTCTATACCATCTCTCTATGCCATCTTTTATCCCTCTAATTTAAAACTGTGGTACATAATTCAAAGGACAAGTAGCGCTGGATGCCAAGCTATGGAGTGTACAACTATACAGTTACACCTGATCAAGACTTGGGGTTCTGGATTTAAAGGATGAGTAGTAAATTAGGAAAGAGGGGAATGAAAATGAATCAAAGAAAACTTCAGGTGAGTGGACTTTGGGGCATGAAGGAACTGCCTGACATCATTTCCCTAAGAACATTATTGCCCAAAGAAGGGTTTTAGACAGTGAAATAATGCACTTGGGTATATTCCCAGTATTTTAAAAGTAAATGATCTCCTAGAGTATATATTCATTTGACACTAATATTTTTCATAATTTTCTCCAAAAATACAAGAAATAAAAAGGCCCACCAACCCTGATTCAAATTTTTCAATGTAAATTGATCTTTGGTTCCAGGGATTTTCAGTGGAAAGAGAATTCTTTTTTTTTTTAACAATAGATACATTATGCATTCCCACTGACACTGCTGATTCCAACACAACATTATGAAGTTTTTGCTTAAACTCATTGATTTTATATCTTTATCTACTTTGTCCCCTGTTGAAAATTCCGGTTCTCATTGATACCAATGTAATTACAAATTTGCTTTAACCTACACTACACTGACTGTGATCTCAAAATAGCAGTATGAATACAGAAAGTAGTTTAAGATTCTTTCACAGGCCCGCATGCTTGTGGAGTTAAATTATGATTTTTAAAACTGCTTGGAAAACCTTCTCTCTGTGGGGCTATGCTAGCAACTCATTAAACAATTAAAGCTCATTTGCATCACTTTGCTTTCACTGTTAGGGATTTTTTAAATCAGTTTGTTTTATAACTATGGAAATATGTACATTGTTTCCAAGTTAAATTTGTAAAACCAAGAATAATAACACAGTATATTCAGAGAATTCTAGCTTTTGTTCCTTGCCCTCTATACTTTGTACTCTTCGCCCACTCTCTCTCTATGTGAAGAATTTTTTTAAAATTATGGTTTAAACTTCTATTTATGTAAATCTTTCTTTCATAACTGGTAGCATACTGGAAGTACTTTCACTCCCTGGATATCACTGCATAATTATACATGAAGATGTATCTATCTTATGTATGTATTTGTGTGTGTATACATTTGTATGATGTATACATCATATTATGTATGTGTGTGTAAGCATACACACACACACACACATATATTTATATATGAGCTCTGGCAGTGTAGTGCCTAAGGCATTTGACTGCTAACCAGAAGGCTGGGGGTTCAAACCCACCAGCTGCTTCTCTGAAGAAAGGTTGGGCAATCTACTTCTGTAGTGATACTGCCTTGGAAACCCAAGGAGGGGTTGCTATGAGTTGGGTCAGACTCGATGGCACATAACAACAACAACAACAACAACAACATATACACACACACACACACACATAGAGAGAGAGAGAGAGAGAGAGGAAGAGAGAGAGAGAGAGAGAGAGAGAGC